CCCGTAATGTTGTATCATCCATCTGATTTCATTAGGATTCGAACACCTGCTCTGCTTATTTCATTCACAGTTTTATGTGTGTGTGTGTGCCATTCAGCCACATGGGGTGTGCTTATTTCACAGTTTTATGTGTGTGTGTGTGCCATTCAGCCACATGGGGTGTGTTTACGGCGCTGTAATTTGTGCGCGAATGCACACCCGCACATTTGCCAGGTGTTTTTCTGCAGTGATCTTTCCCACTCCGTCCCGCGCAGCCACGTGCAGGGAGAAGATGAAGCCGTGTGCATGGAAAAGTCGAAAGTAATTTCTTTTGGGGGCAAATGACACAGGTAGGCCAGCGGTCACTAAGGGCGTACTAAAAATGCACCTGCCTTCAGGGTGAGGCACGATGCATGTTCTGCAACTGGCTCTCTTGTGTATGCTTTTTCTGTCATTCGTTGTGCATGCGTCGACGGCATAATGAATGACACACCGCCGCGCGGCCGTGTGTCATTCATTATGCCATCGACGCATGCACAACGAATGACAGAAAAAGCATACACAAGAGAGCCAGGTGCAGAACATGCATGTTGCCTCACCCTGAAGGAAAATATACGACTCGCCTGCCACAGGGGAAAAGAACAAGGGGAAATATACGACTCGCTGAAGGAAAATATACGACTCGCCTGCCACAGGGGAAAAGAACAAGAGAGTCAAAGAAGAGGAAAATGCGAAAATGGAGAGAAGAAAATCGACCAGCACTGCAGATGCCATAAGGACGCGAATCGTCGTTTTGTTGTGCCATTATTAAATCGCATTTTCTATCCTGTTTTTGGGACAATAAAAATTGGGTTCTCAACATTTCTGAGCCTCATGGCATGAGCTTCATGGATCCAGAGAGCTCTCTTTGCGCGCTCAGCCCTCTGGCAACCTTTTCAGGACTTTCCTTGATGTATCTGAGTGCCATTACGGCCAGATTCAGCCGAACAGGTGCTGCTAGTATACCTAAGTCAATGTCAATGATGAGCGCCAATCTTCACTATGTCGTTTTCACGACAGCCAGTCTCAAATAGGCACCTATGGCCAAGTTCCACCAGCAACGAGGAGTGGATTGAACGCCTGAATGTCGATGTGTTTGTGGAGAGGTGCAGGAAATCGCGATTGACCTGCTTTTCTGCATCTCTGCGTAAATTACGTCCGGATTCAGCCGCTTACTAAAGTTCCCTTTGCTAGAGGGACCTCGCCCCCGATGCCGAGGTCGGTGGCTGAAAGGCACTGCTTTCCCTCGGAGTCTGAAAAGGAAAGAAAAGAACAGTGAATAAATACTGACAAGACTTTTTCTGTTTTTTTTTTCCCTTTTTCTTTTTTTTTTTAACAACGGCCAAAGTGCCTTGGGCCATGTTCAATTGAAACTGACTGTCCTTCGTTACTTCCGTTAAAATCGGAACGGTACAGAGATTAGTATGGCCCGTGCGCAAGGATGACATGCATAAATCAAGAAATGCCCCGCCCCCCTTCCTTTCGTTATGTCGCAGTTTCCCTATTTCTTTCCTCCTTTTTTTTTCCCTGTTTTTTTTCGCTGAGCCATGGTGACTTCTTTTACCCTCTCGTTCTTTTCCCCTGTGGCAGGCGGGTCGTATATTTGACAGCCACCGGTTGCGTGAAGGTGCCATGATCATGTTTTCGCCACCAGCTTGAGGGCGAGGAAAATCGCGCTGGCTGTACTCTACAAGTCAAGTCTGTTCGCCTGAACTTTGCAGTGCGGTTTGCACAACGGCACTCGCTGCTTGAGAACGATTCTCTCTCTCTCTCTCTCTCTCTCTCTCTCTCTCTCTCTCTCTCTCTCTCTCTCTCTCTCTCTCTCTCTCNTCTCTCTCTCTCTCTCTCTCTCTCTCTCTCTCTCTCTCTCTCTCTCTTTCTCTCTCTCTCTCTCTCATCTCTGTGTGTGTCCCGTGAGCGCGTGGGCTCGCTCGCCCTCTTTGGGGGAGCAAAAACTTGTTGTCTCCGCAATGTTTGTGGACTTGTAAAAACCATTGAAGCTGGGGTAAGTTACTGACAGAAGTTTCCAGGTACTGAACTTGAGTGACTCAAGTGAAGTACTAACTGAATGAGGGTGGAAGGAACGAGGACTGTATTTGACGGGCTCAGACTGGACTTTCCGAGTTTAACTTACTGAATTGTCCAAGTTACGGCCTTGAGTGCCTCAAGCAACGCGAGACGATGAATGCATTTGCATCTAGCCAATGCTTTGCCAATGATTTGGTGTCAGTTATGTCCCTCTTCCGTTGGTGACATACATTATGTTTCTTGGCTCGGCTTGAGTAATTTGGATAATTATATCGTAAGTTGAGTTTCGTGCTCAGCTCTACTTGAGTAACTAAGGTAACTCGTGGTTGAGTTTCGTGCTAAGCTCGGCTTGTGTAACTTGAGTAAGTTGAGTTGCCGAACCTAAGCTACCCAAGTAGCAACTGGAGTGGTGACCACCTGCCATGTGATTGTTGCGGAAGAGAAACCCCTAAAGCCTGAGAGATCAGGCCATGGATTGGTTCTTCCCCTGAGGCCTGAGAGATGAGGGTATTGGGCGGGGTAGTGATTGTTGCAGTAGATAAACCCCCTCAGGCCTGAGAGATCAGGGTATGGATTGGTTCTTCCCCGTCGGCCTGAGAGATCACGGGTATTGGGCGGTAGATAAACCCCTGAGACATATTGAATAAGTCATTCTAATATCTGAGCGAATTGTAATTTTCAAATTTCAATTCCACTTGAGTCCAGTGATGACAGATCCTTCGGTCGAAGCAAACTCGGAAGCACGTGATGTCCGTTCTCCACCCTCTGCCGGATTATGGGCCTCACCGCACCACCGGTCAAACCTGAAAAAATGACGAGTATATTATCAGTCCAAACGTCCAGGGAAAGATTTTGGCCACTCTCAGGCTTGTGCACCACTAGCCAAGTTTGAAAAATGACGAGAGCATCAGTCCAATTTCCAGGGAAAGATGCACTCACCATTTTCAAATGGGGGGACTCTGGAAAGTGTGGTTGTGGTGGAGGCAGGCCCTTTGTCTTTGGCTCTAGTGCAACAGGTTCTGGAGAAGATGAAGAAGGGTCAGTTGCATTTTGACCGTCGTGACATAGTTTTTTGGCACCATACAATTTGTTATAATTAGTTTGCTCAATCCAGTAGTAGATAATTGCAGGGTAGTACTAAGTCCTACGGACCCACACCACAACAAGAGATGGGGGTGTGGGGAGAGAGGGGCAGATGGTTTATGCAGAGCGCATTCAAAGCGCAAGTGTTACATTCGAAACTCCAGCGAGATTTCTTGAGGAGCGCGGCGGACGAAGCTGGAGCCAATGATGGAAATGTCAAATCTAACCCTGGTTGTGACTCTCGATTTGACCCTGCGTTAAGAAGCTTCAGTGTGGAATCAAGAAAAAGGGGCATGGAAATCACAGACCAGTCCGGAAACAATAGCTTCTTCCCAATTGGCAATCGTGACAACCAGATGTGGGCGAAGACTTTTCCTTTGCGAAATTATGGCTTAGAGGAGGAGCATCCGCAAGCACAAGGGAGGGAATTTTTTCAGGGTGCAAACAATTCCACGGAAACTAATAGCTCTGATGAGGAGGCAGTCCAGGACAACAGGTTGGAGAGGAACGAGTGCAAAATGAAGCAGATTGATTGTGGAAGATCGGTGGATGGGAGTGGAGGGAGGGAGGGAAGCGGGTCAACATTGAACGATTACGGGGTTGACTTAAGATGGGAAGGGAAGGAAAGCGATAGTGCAAGGGTCAATAGAGACTTTCTTGTCTCAACCATGGACAAGTGGGCGAAGTTGAGTCCAGAGGAGTTCTGGAGAGATGGGCCGCATCTGTTCCGCTGTGAGCAATCTCTTTCAGTGAGAGACGACAGTAATTCTCAGGGAGTTTCAAAACAGCATGCCCGGCCAGATGCAGGAGAAGAAAACAACGCGGTCTTTTCTTCTTCTGCCACTCGGTATCTTAAAGGTGGTGGGACGGTGATAGAGGAGGAGGAGGAGGAGGAGGAGGAGGAGGAGGAGGAGTGGGGAAGGATGGAGATGGCTAGTTATGAGCAAAGAAGAGAGTCAGCTGCGTATGAGAATAGAGTGCCCGTAGAATGCAATTGGGTGTCAGAGGAGGATGGAGAGGTAGAGGGTGGTTATCCAAAAAAGGTAGAGGCCCTAGAGGGAACTCAGGGACGGGAAGACTATGGTGCAAGAAAGCTACCTTCTTTCTCTTCTTCTCTGTCCTCCTCGTCTTCTTTTCCTTCTTCTGCCATCCACAGGCACAGAAAACATTTTCCTGATTCCAAGGAGGTAGACAGTGTCTTGGATTCGCAGGAGGTGGACAATGTCTTGTATTCGGAGGTGAACAAAGGGCATGACAGTCTCGGTAAGGAGAGCGAGAGCAGCAACGGAATTGATGACGCTGATGGAGATGGGCAAAAGCCATCTGCTTCCAGCAGAAGATGGAAAAGACGAGCGCATTCTGACGAGGAGAATGAGGGGGCAGAGGCGGACGGAGTCTTGGATTCGGTGGAGAATAGGGGTAACCGTCTTGGTACAGAGAGGGAGAGCAGCAACGACATTGATGATGATGATGGAGATGGGCAAAAGCCATCTGCTTCCAGCAGAAGATGGAAAAGACGAGTGCATTCCGATGAGGAGAATGAGGGGGCAGAGGCAGATGGCGTCTTGGATTCGGTGGAGAAAAGGGGTAACCGTCTAGGTAAGGAGAAGGAGAACAGCAACGGAATTGATGACGGTGCTGGAGCTGGGCAAAACCCATCAGCTTCCAGAAGAAGATGGAAAAAGCGAGTCCATTCTGATGAGGAGGAGAATAAGGGGTGGAGCCGTTCCGGTGACGGGAGAGAGAACAGCAAGGGAGTTGATCGTGACGATGATGGAGATGTGCAAAAGCCAGGTGCTTTTTGGAGAAGATGGAGGAAGCGAGTGCCTGGTTCAGGAGAGGTGGACATTGGTGCGGATCCTGATGAGGAGGAGAATAAGGGGTGGAGCGGTTTCGGACCTTTCGGTGAGGAGAGAGAGAAGAGCAAGGGAATTGCTAGTGACGATGATGGAGATGGGCAAAAGCCAGTTGCTTTGCGGAGAAGATGGAGCTATGGAGGGGCTCGGGAAAATTGCCATACCTACGGCAGTCACTCCGATACAGACGAAGAAAGTGATAAAGAGGTTCGGTTGAGACGAGCCCTTGATTCGCTGACTCCGCAAGGAAGGAGGATCCAACGGTGCATGAGGAAGATGGCTCGACGCCATTGCCAACAGATGGATGGAATCTCTGACTTGGATGGCTTTCCCAATCCCAATTTGGACGAGAATTCAGCTGTTGACATGTACTCCTCTGGTGAGCTGGACAATGAACCAATATCTGTGCAACAACGACTCAAGGGATGGTATCGGGATGGAGACGAGTCGTCAAGTTCGTCAGGATGGTATCTCAACGATCTTGCTGGGTATGTAGTACGTACTTGTCGCACATGCTTCTCGAGAGGGATCTACTGATGAAGGTAGCGTTCAAATTCAGGGGAAAGATGGGGGGAAATTGCAGTGTTACTGCTGTGCCTGCCCCTTTCATGAAAATTGAACATAGAAAGTCACAAAAAACCTGGTTAGGAAAGTGTAACCACTATATTATTATATTATATTACATATTATAGGGCGTTACATACTATATTATTTGGTACGATCCTGGTCATTTCCCAAGTGCAAATTCACAATGAAAGACAATGCCACCCAATTGCGAAAGAAATGAAAGCACTTGCAAAGAGATAAAGACCAGAGGAGAGGTAAAGAAGAAGAAGAAGAAGAAGAAGAAGAAGGAGAAGAAGAAGAAGAAGAAGAAGTACACCAGCAAGACCAATGACAATTCCCCCTTCTCTCTCCACCTTCCTCCTTCCTCCTTCTCTTCACCAATCTTATTCTTTTCTCAATAATAATAATAACAATGAATGGATGAACCAGAATCAATGTCCGAAGTTCCCCCCTTACTGCTGACTCAACTCACAACAATAACAACAACAACAAGTCCACCATGGCTATGTCTTCCCTCCTTCAACCTCTTCTCTCAAGCATAGGCCATGGCGGACTACTGGAAGGCAGCTATGATGCTGCCCTGATGCCCGAAAGACAASTCAAAGCAGCTATGTCGCTGCTTGACTTGGTCCGCTATGCCTGACTCTGCCTCGAGCTGCCCTGGTGCAGYGTTRCCCCAACTGGGGCCTTCCAGRTGCAGCGCCCAAYAAGGTAATGAAGACGGTGTCCACCATAGCCAGGTAAGTGCCCTACCACTCTCCTACCATGTCCCCCTTCTTCCTCCTTCAAGCTGGGGTGCTCGCCATAGCCAGGCTGAGCCCCAGCAGACCTTCACCTCCAAGCAGCGCTGCTTCAGACCAGCGCTGCTCTCCAGCAGCATGTCGCCAATCCTTGCATACCGCAAATGAGGAAGAGCCTTCCGCTCTTCCTGAAGATATAGTGGCCTACCGGCCTCCTGGGCGGTGACTTTCCAGGCCAAGCGGCCTCCCAGGCAACCGGTACCTCCTCCCTTTTGGAGGGAAACATCACTGCAGGCTCTGTTATTGTCCGCACAGGCCCTAGACCCGGGCTTCTTGGACTGGTACCGGCCTACCCCCAACCTACTGCCACTGGACCTCTAAAAATGCCAACTTTTTGTCTTCTTCTGCTCGGCCTACCTGCTACTTGAGTGTTTTCCCCAGCTGCTCTAAGTGCCGTGGGCCTATCTCCCTCTACCGGCGTGTTTTACCCCCCTGCAACCCTCCAGAGTCACGGCCACAGGTAAGTACCGGCCCGGTGGGCCTTGCAACCAACAAGTACCCTTGCGGGTCAAACACACACATACCCCACCGGCAAGCAYTCAGACAGGCATGCACGCACACACACACAACCAGCAAGCACTCARACAGGCATGCAACCAGCAGGCACGCACACACACAGACTTGGAACCACAGCAGAATGCGGGAATCACAACAAGGCATCCATTCCAGTGACAAATCCCAGAAATCGGCAGTGTTCTCAGTCTGTGTTTTTGGCGGGTCATTACATTATTACTAATAATATTGGTATAAATATTAGTACGAAAACTGCCCAAAGGAAGTCAAACCTGGTTACTGAAGCGAATCGTGATGATCTTGTTAATGTAAAGAAATATGGCATTACAATGTGGAGAAGTATTGGCATTATATTGCATAATACACTACACTGTTGTATACACTTAAAAAGGGCGACGACCTTGAGATGTCATCATTCATTGAACTGACCGCACCCAGGTAAATCAGAATGATTTTATTGTGGTTATCTGATTGTATCTGGATTCGAACTTGTTGGGTCTGTATTTCAACCCTTCGTGGGTGTACGGACTGAGCTAGGCCCGCTTGTGTATGTTGCATAAACCTGCATTGCATTTCAGACTTTTGACCGATTTCTGTGTATGCTGTGATTTTCGTTTGGAATCAATTGAGCAAGAGTCCCGGCAGCAGCGTGCAGCCCAAACGAATTTCGCACCTCGGCCTGGATTCCATTCAATGTTATGAATCGAAGTACCCACTTGGCCACTGGTATTTGTGCTAGAGAGACAACTCAATGTAACAATGTGGCAGAGATTTAAGCTGCATAAACCTGCATTGCATTTCAGACTTTTGAGCTATTTCTGTGTATGCTGTGAAACGGTTTTCACCTTTTAGCAGTAGCGGATGCAGTACCCAGGGTTCGATCCCTAGACCTCACCCTACCCATGTACAGTATCTGTGTAGACCCCGAGAATTGAACCTGTGACCTGTGTATTCGTAGGCAGTTGGTAGGCCTGTCGTAGGTCCATAGGCAGCTGGGGTTCGATCTGTAGGTCTATAGCGTAGGAGTCTTAGTGAGTTCCGGAAGCTTAAGCTGTAGACCTTCTAGAAGGTAGGCAAGTGGGCAAGTGG